TTTATATATGACCTGAGCTGTGTGATGTCTGAGATGCTAGTATTTTTTTCTCTTGAAAAACAGTTATGCAGTGCAAAAACTTTGCATTGCACATTCTCCAACTCAAAAGGTTAGGAAGATACTATAGTAGAACTTGTCTATTAGAAAGTCCCTTAATAGCAGATGTATTTGAATATCTTGCTTAAAAGCAAGATACAGTAGAGCGTTGTTTATCCGAATCAATTGGGGACTGCGGTTGTTCGGATAACTTATTTTTCAGATAACCGATTATGTACGAAAAAATATCCCATGTTGAAATTTTTCTCCGTTGTGTGTCGCTTTGCGTTGAATTTTCATCGATGTTAAGCCTAATGTAAACTTTTTAAAATAATAATCGTGGCTATTGTATCGTTAAACATTATTTCTTTATTTTGTACAAACAAACTAAATATATTGAAAAATATAAAAACAATAAAAAATTATACTTCAGAAGTTAATTTAGTATCAAAAACAAAAAATAATATTTGAGTAGCCCAAGACATAGCCAAAGATTGCAGTGCCACAGCACTAGCGAAAATTTAAATTTGCCAACTGGAATTCTTTTGGATAACCAACGTTTCGGATAACCGACTTTCGGATAAACGACGCTCTACTGTATTCAAATACATCTGCCAATACTGCTACACTGGCAAAATCCTATACATTTTAATGTAGTTTGGCTTATAGCAAGTTACACATAGGCAAGATTTTCCTACTAGAAAGTTATTTTCATGCATCACCTACAAAATTAGTTTACCCATTAGCAAGTTTGAAAATGCTTCCCTACCTGTCTTCCCTCATCTAATGAAATTGGTTACAAATCCTGCACTTGCTGTGCTGTGGTAAGGACTGCATTTTGACCTTGAGCTGAGAAAGTGAAGATTGGCAAGCAAAAATCCAACACATGATTTGTATTTAAAACAAAAATATGAAACTGTACAATTGATTGAAAGTGGATGAAAGCAAAATAAAAAGGTTGCTAAAAAGTTTAGTGTGAATGAGTTAATAATTTCATGCATAAAATACAAGATGAAATTTCAAGAGAGTTTCAGCTTAGAAAGAAAGCCAACATCCATGCAGAGATAAAATTCGAGCAAAGGAGGAAAGCAATGAAAAAAAGGCAATAAAAGAAGTATGATAATGCCTACCCATGCTCAAGCATCTGAAGCTTTGGAAATATTGAAAAAGTTCCTTGAATCTCATGATAATGGCTTGATTGCACTTCACTCTTTGTACAAAGTTGGAGAATTTTTAACAAAATTGTTCATTGGTAAAAAACACAGACATCAATTACAGATTTTTGTAATAAATTTCAATAATTAAGAAATTAATAAATACAATAGTGTATTCTGAAAAGAGTTTGTTTAATAGCAAGTTCATCTATTAGCAAGGGACTTTCTAATAGACAAATTCTACTGTATTTTTTCAATTTTTTCAAATTTCATGTAAAACAGACTTTACAAGAAAAGTCACCTGGTTTCTCACAGATGCTACATGCCCCAGGAATGTTTTAATAGTGCAATGATAAATTCAGCTGAGTAACTACAATGGCCACTTCATTCTTATAAATTCATATAACTTTATGCAAATTAATATAATGTCACTAATGTATGTAATAATTAACTTCAAGTTGGCTTTTATATGCATCAGTACCTGTTCTAATCTACCTTTACAATTGTTTACGTGATCTTATTACCACTGTTAGTGGTATCAAAAGCATGCAAACAATGTTTCCTTGTGGTTAAATTAGTAGCTGCTACGATTCCATAAATCAACACACACTTTTAGTTAAATTAACTGGCTGGGCTTTCAAGGAAGCCTATTAGCATGACTCCAATTCTTTCTATTCCATAGAAAGAATTGGAGTCATATTCCAAGTATTATACAGCAGCATGGAATCTTTTCAGCTAAAGCTGAAGCTCCCAGATGGAAAAGGTAAGTTGTCAGATTTCCCTTCCATCTGGATGCTTATTATTCATCTTTTCTTTACATCTCCAAGTATAGAAAATCCTTGTTAATTAATTTGAACTTGGATAGTTAAAAATCCAGTTAGTTCATAACTGTACTATTATGTCCTGGCCAAGGATATAGAGATTTACATGTTAAGGAATTTGGTTAGTTCAAAATATAGTTACTTTGAAATTCAAAATGAAAATTCTATCCAAACTGAGATATGCTTATGTTAAATTATATGTTTAGATTGAAGTTCATATGCCTCCATACTATAAGAAAATAATAACCATAAGCAATTCTAATCTGGTCAACACAGCTTTGCTTTTAGTCTGCGGCACCCATAAATTGGGTACTTTGGGGATGTATGCCTTTTTCATCTGTGTTGTCCTTTTCCTAATCTCCAAATTCCATGATCAACAAACAACAGAAAATTCATGACTTCTAGCCTATTTTGCAATTTAAAAAAAAGCTAATAAATGATATTTCTCCATTATCCCATGCAACTTTGTCACAGGTTGACCAAAACTACATTCTTTGTTTTCAAGACCAAGATAGCCCTGATCTCAACCAGTGCAACCTTTTGTAAATGCTGATCTGACTTTAAATCATAATTTGAAGCTTCTTGTATAATGTATGATGCCTTTTTTTTTATAACCCATACCCTCTTTTTTATAGTCTGCAGGTGCCACTGATTATAGTAATACATTTTCATGTGTTATCTTACCCATCAACTACTCTTTTTCTCTTATAAAACATGACTGGATTTCAGGTTGCAAATTGGGAAACAAATAGCAGATTGAGATATTTGTAGAGAGCTACACTACTAGATTTGGGCAATTTAATACTTTTTGAGCTATTTTAAAAATAATTTTGGCTACATTTTGAGAATTCTGCTTTACTTTTTTTTATAAAACCTATCTGACAATCTATGGGGTTTTCACCTGACACTTGCAGTTTATTTATGTCAGTGTTTTTCAACCTTCTTAAATATGCGACCCCTTTACAAGTTAAAAAATTCTGGCGACCCCCCTTGGGCCATATTAAAACTATATCAGTGATTTTAAAAACTATGTATTTAATTTTCTTTCTGTTAAGACAAATTATTGTTGATTGAAATGAAAATTTCAGAAGAATCGACAATAATTTAACACATAAAGTATGAAACTTCCTTTAATTAGGCACAGGGAACTGTTGACTTTTTTTTTTTTTTCTTTAGGATCTTAATTTTCAGCTTCTACTTTTCTACTTTTTATTTCCTTTTGCAAATCAGCTCAACACTTTTTCCGCTATCATTTTCTGGGGTGGGCCGTAATTCTCGCTGAAATTGTAGTTTTTTTAATGTAGTGTAGGACCTACAAACACTTGTCTTTTTCTTCTACCCGTGACCCCCGTGCAAGGCTTTGCGACCCCATCTGAGGGTCGCAACCCACAAGTTGAAAAACACTGATTTATGTTATTATTAATAATTTTTAATTAATAAAAGCAGCATTCTGTATACATAGCTATCATTTGCTTAATAAGTTAAATCATTTACATGATATTTGTATATATATTTTTGTACATATGCCAAGTCTTGGATAATTCAAAGTTGCAATTATTTTGTCCCTTAAATTTCAAACTAACAAGGATTTCCTGTAGGTTCATACATTCCTTTTTACTTGCTATGTATCTTTGTATAAAATTTTTCTGCCACCATATCTCATTTCAACTAAACTGATAACATTTTTTGATTTCTTGTGGCTAAAACAAAATTTTAACCATTTCTTATTTACAAAAGTGCACTGAATGCAATAGAACAGTGGTGCCAAAACTATAATCCCAGGCTAAATCTGACCCACAGCACACATGAATCCAGTCCAAAAATGTATTTGACACATCACTTATAAATTATGAAAATAGACATACTTTTAGTATATACAGAATATACAATATATTTGTGTCCTGTCTACCTATGACTTATGCACAGTTTGGCCTGCCAATTAAGCAGTTTGAGCACCACTGTAATAGAACATTGGGATGCCACCTGAAGTCTCACCTTCTCTCCAGATAAAAAGCACATGCACAGATTTGTCTCCTAGACTCCATTGATTGCCAATTCAGCTCTCCCTTTGAAACTTCAAAATTCTGTCATATGAATAAATGGTTTCCACTTCTCGTCATCCTTAACCTGATCCAATTGCAATTATCTCTTCCAGACAAAAACTGTAAGGCTTGCTTCTACCTAATATATTTAGCCTCAATATAAACCATCACTTGCATAAATCATCTATTACAAATCACATCTACAACCATAGTTCTTACAATTGTGGCTAGATAGTCTTTGGATAAGGATAAAAGTATTTCTAATGGCAAATTGAGACATAGATTTGTTCCTGAAGCCACTGTTTGGCCCATAACTTTAAAGATTTCTGAAAGACATACTAACAGTAGAATCACAACAGATTAATGTTTCAGAATAGAAAAGAGAGAGAAGTCGCCCCAGGAATTGTGCCTACAGTGAAATTTTATAATCACTTTCTAGAGGAAAGTTAGCAGATCAATTATCCTCTCTTCTGAGTATCATAACTGGAGTGATCTGATGAAGTTCCAGAGTAAGTTGTGTGGTAGACTGTGGAAGTTGACATTGAGAGTCAGGAAAGTAGTACTAGAGCCAAGAAGAAAGCACTAAGTTAATGTCAGTCTACAGAACTAGGCATTTCAAGAGAGAGGCATTCCTTTTCTTGCCTACAATTATTTTCTCCAGCAAGAAATGGCAGATCAATGGACTTCCTAGTTGTTGGTGGTAACAGAAATCTCAAAAACATAACAATAGGTATAACTAACTACATCTAAATTACCAAATGTCTTCTCAATAGATCTCATATGCAAATTTTCACAGATATTATCAACAGAAATTAAAAGGCTAGAAAATTTATGGTTTTGCCTTAATTTTTATTGTTAATATATTACACGTTATTTTATAAGTTCATTTTACAACATTTTTGTTAATTAAATTTGTTAAATTTAAATAACTTCAATTTTAACATTACCTGCATGATGAATTCTCTTTGTCTTGGTTCACCTCTTTCAGCAATAACTGTGTAAATTGGTTCACGTTCTTTTTTAGCTTGCTGGATTTGGATCAGACGACTGATGGGATTTATACCTTGGCCATATTGGGGATCAGCCTTTTGTTCCTAAATTAGTCAGTGACAAAAATATAATTAAATAAACTGATTTACTATTTTTATTTTAATAGTTACATTTAACTGAATAAGCTACTTCAATATAAAACTGCATACATACTTTATTACATTCAGTATAGGCAATGCTCAAACTGGACAATTTTCTGTCTGATTTCTAAGTATAGATACAAGCAATTATGTGAAACATTGGCAGTAATGCATCAAATTCATAAAATTTGATTTTAAGTGTTCAACTTAAGTTTGCTAAAATTAGAAAAACTGTGACCATTGCGAAATAATTAATATTAACAAATATATCATCAAAAGAAGCATAATTTCGTAACAATTACATTACAAATTTTACTTTAAAACATCAGATACAAACTAGCATTTTCAGCTAATATCTATATTTGTAAGTTATTTGAATGCCTTAGAATATAAATATATTGTCACTGTAAAAATATCTTAAAATTTATGCTGTACCATCTATAGTGATAACTTACATTTCAGAAAATTTTCAAATCATAATTTAACACCAGCTTTCGAAACAATAAAATTTAAGACATTCTGATATTTCAAAGAACAAAACACAAACACACATGCACACACTGATACATCTAAATTTAAAAATGATTTACTGTTAGCCGAATTTGCTAATAAGTAGCCTACATTTTAAAGTAAATTTGTAAACTGTTGAAAAAAAGAACTATGCTTATTTTGATTTTAATTTTTCATAAAAAAACTCAGCATGAAACATTTATAATAATGTAAAAGTAAATGATTTATTCTGTTTTTTAAGAGTCTAATAAACCCTAAATAATAAAACCTGCATATAACAAAACTCATTAAAATTGTTTCTTTAAATTTAGGATGCATTTCTGACATTTTCAATAGAGAATTTGATGATAAATTGCTTTTAATTCAAATCAACTGTTATAAATTGAAATATTTTGAACAGTATATTTTTCATTCATTACAAAACTTTCAGACAAAATTTATAGCAATCTCATTAAATTTTAAACAGATTTACAAAAATAATTTACAGATTTAATTTCTCAAAATTAATGTAGTAAAAGACTAATTATTTATTACATATTTAATTTTTGCACTTATCATCAATGATAAAAGGATAAAAATTTGTTAATATCAATATTCATAAAATAAAAACACACATGAAATTAAAATTAATTTTTTCCAATATATAATTTAAGTGTAAAGAAATGACATACAGTATATATATTATATATATATGATAGGAAAAGAATAAAGAATGCATATTAATCTAAATAAAATATAAGTTTAGACAAAAAAAGTTAAAAAATAATTATAATGATAAAGTACAAATTAATAAATACTAAAAGTAAAGGCAAAGCTTATGCAATGTAAATATTATTTTATATTAATTAAGACAAACTAAAATAAAGAATTAAACACTTATATTTTAATATGTATCATTTTAAAATCTATTAATAACAATAATAATAACTGTTAATTTTCTATCATCAGTAATATATTACTGATTTACATTCTTTAAATTTTTTAAGTATAGTCATCCCTTCCCAACCAAGAAAGATTATGTTCCATAAAAATAATGCATTGATAAACTATGGTTGATAAAACAAACTATGGTCAATAAAAAATTAGGGAAAGAAGGAAAACTATGACACTGAATAAATGTTTTATAATAATAAAATAACTAATTTTATATGAAAAATACAACAGTGTAATAATACTTTTTATAAAAAAGTTCTTTGGTGCACTCTATGACAATACATATAGTAAATAGAGATTAAAAAAAAGTCTTTTGACATTAAAACATTTAATAACAAGCAAAATGCAAGTACTTTCAATGAAACATCATCATCATCATAAGGCAAATAAATGTTATAAATAGAATTTTATTTGTCTGATGAAAATGACAATGTGTTGTTCAAAGTACTTGATTTTTGCTTTTTAATAAGTATTTTAATACCAAAAGACAGTTCGTTTACTTAAACCAGAAGAAACCAAAAAATCTTAAATCTATTTCAAAAAGATTAAGAAGCATCACAACTCTAAAAAAGCTAAAAATTAAATCCTGGATAATTTTACTTTTCAAATATTTTAAAATTTCTTTATAGACATGAACAATGCTTCCAATTCTTCAAGTCCAAAAATATATTTTATGACTGAATCAATGTTTATATAACAAACAATGTGGTTGCAACCATTGATATTAAACAATAAAAGAGAGAATGTATTTATGTTTTTAAGTTTTGATATAAATATTATTATATTTATTTACTTTTATATCTCTTGTATTTTAAATTGTATGAATGTTCTATTGATTTATAAAATTCTTCCATTCTTTTTATTTTAAATTATTTCTGTTGCATTTAATATGTTTTTCAAATGTTCTTTTTGTTGTTTTTCATTTAATTTTGATGTTCCAACTAAAAAGGCCCATGAAAGTAGGTTGAAAACGTTTTTGCTTGATTAAATTACTGCTGGAGTTATACAAGGTGTACTGCTTCTTTCATTTGAAAGAATAATGTCATTTTTTGTATTTAACTATAAATAATTTTTTTAATCATATAAACTTTATAAATAAATCATTCATTTTTACTGTGATTCAAAATACAGTAAAACCCATTTAAGCCAACTGTCAAAAACTGTCAAAAAACAGTTGTCTAAAGGAGTCATCTTAAAAAATATGCTTTATCAAGAGTATAAAAACACAGTAAGTGGTACAATTTATGTAAATAGTGTACAAAATACTATACAGAAATATTTACAATACTATAACTGTTAAATACTAATTATGATAAAGATTTTAAAAACTCATGTATATTTTTTTTTATTAAACCTATATTATAAATATTTTTCATAACACTTTCATTAACTCTATTACCAGAAATCTTGGAAACTGAAGTTGACAAGGAATTCCTGTAATTCAGTAACAATTTTGAAACTCATCTTAAATAAAATTAACAAAATATTTAAATTTACAAAAATGAATGTGTCATTAATTTAAAGAAACCAAAGGAACAAAATGCAAATTATTTGATTTGTAAGCCTTAACAGATTACTTTGAAAATTTTAAATACTTTATAAAATTTTATCAATCAAATTGCTTATTAAAATTTGTAAATTTTAAGAAACACTTATCTATATATATAAAAATGAGGATGTTTGTTTGTTCACTATACATTCCTAGGCTGTTAGACTAATGCTATGAAACTTGGCAGTTATGTTCAAATACTTTCACTTATATCATGTCATACATCCCACCCCAAAATATTGCTTACATTTCATAAATCAATTAATTTCTATCTACATTCAATTTGCTGATTTACACACAGCACCATCTATTGGCAATAAATTTAACAAAACAATAAACTAAATATAATTCTTACAAAAAAAAAATATAATTTAAAAAAATATATATTATATTCACTTAATTACTGTGACAATGATATAGCATGAATTAGAAGTGCAATGTCATTACTGAGACAGGTAGCATATAGCACTTGCTTGTGTGGAATCAAAAGTGTTTAAACCTGTGAAAGCCTATGAATTACCTATAAGTATTTAATTTTCCACATCTAACAACACAGGTGTTTTTATTTCTGAAAGATACTTTCTTAATTCTAATAAGCATCCTCCAGTAGCCGAAAAGATAAAACCACCAAACAATGGTAGTTAGTTAGTTGTGGGTTTGAGCATGGCCAACAAGCCAGTCACGTTGAGTTTTCTGGATTTTCTTCACATTAGTAACACCTAAATAGGGTCCAGCTTCCCATAAAAGTCTTCCTAGGGTGCATTCCCCTCAGCAGAATGCTTACATGTTGTGTTGTCATAACCAAATAAACCAAGCTAAATCTAACAAGCAATTATTTATTATGACATTGTCACAATGCCTGGCTGCAACTTTTCGTCAGAATGTTCTGAATTCTTTTAGTGGTGGTCTTGCCCCTGTACATCATACTTTACCTGTTAGCAATAGTCATGTTGGTTATCTATCTAACTCAGTTCAGGGAAAAATTTTGAATCAAAATAATGTGACTTCCATTCCAAACTGTATATAGTTAATTTGGGCCTCCTGTCATAAGCTTTCTACATCTGGTCTTGACTTTCATCTATCTATACTTACCACATAGTTTGCACAATCTGTTGCCAAAATTTAAACACTTTATTATCACATAAAAGCAAGTATTCTTGCATTTTCATAAGATTTTTTTTTTACTTTCTTGTATGTATGAACTATATAGTGTTCAAAAACAACAACAAAAATTTTTTTTATTTAAACAAGTCATACAAAGTTTTTTGAACATTAAGATTAGCAACATCAATCATGTGGGCCATCAAAACCTATACAACAACGATCACTTTTCAAACATTAATAGTAGACAGATATTATTTAGTAGTCGTTGATCATCCTCTCTTCTGGGAGAAGGTCAATGACTACTTTTGATTGAACTTCCCTTCTTTCTATCAGACAGAGATATGGTGGCATTCGAATAGGCAAATTACATAATACACAATTACTGGCAAGCACAAAATATGTTTTACATGGTTTTCAAAGGTGCCAAGTTTAAATACTTAGTCCATTTTTCACTAAATTTGAATGGTTGACAGATTACCAGTTTCTTAGAGTTAACATCAGGAAAAAATATGACATCTTAAAAAATTTAAGATACCACTTTTTCAATTAGTGTCTACTTGACCAATGAAATTGTGCCATTTTGTACCATTTAAGTATCATGATAATTATGACAACTGTAGGCTGAAATAACCAAACTCTTCATATGGTTTTCATTTTAATGCTTATTTTAGCAATGCTAAAACAAACATTAAACTCTACCCATGGTTTAGTGTTAACGCAGGTAGACTTGGGACATATCATTTAATGACACAAAGGTCTCTGACCCAGACGTCACACATATTCAGCTTCTATATCATATATAATTTTTAGAATATAAACTTTGTCTGAAAATATTTTGCTCTGCATTGCCATTTTTGGTTTCTTTAAA